CTCCCTTGATACAGTTTCTCTCCCTTGATACAGTTTCTCTCCCTTGATACAGTTTCTCTCCCTTGATACAGTTTCTCTCCCTTGATACAGTTTCTCTCCCTTGATACAGTTTCTTTTCTCCGTCACTTTAGAGTCTCCCTCTCCTCCCCAGCACTCCTTCCATTAACTGAGTTCCCTTCTTCTATCTCTTCTTCCCAGACACCTTTATTTATCTGAAAGCCATCTGATGAATACCTAGTGATGCTTCTGCCATTCAGAAGATATAAACATAAATGTTAATCTACTATCCTATTGAGAGGTTATAAAACCTGTGCACGCTTAGGGTATCGCTCCCCAACTCCCCTCCCTTCCCAGACCCCCATACACAACTGCCTGAATGAAGAGACTCTCTGGCAGGGCTACTGGAGGGTCATGTGGCAAAACACACACTCTTACACAAGATGCAGCTATTGGGCCAGCACAGCACAAGAAACCCAGCATTAGTGCAGGAGGCTTGTTGTTCTCCGTTCCTTTTATGATACTAAGCTTTCACAAGTTGAGTTTTGAAATGTCAAAACTCAGGGAGCAGATAAAACATCCTTAGAGTTCTCTTACCCTCTGCAGGCTTACCCTAACTGCAAAACTTTTTGGCTTCCACAGCTCTTCAGCAAGGTGTTCCAGCCCTGCTGAATACTTTAGACAATTAATTCATCCATGTGTGAGCAGTAATATTGTTTTCTGATACTTCAATATTAACGTCACTAAATTTTGGGGCCTCTGTAAATGATGTAAAGAAAGCATCACTAGCTAACTTTTGGAACAGAAGTATCACTATAACATCTTTTCAAGAAGACAGCTTCGGTTGTCTGTATCACAAGCTACTTAGACATCTGGACTAAGGTATAAGGGTTCTAAGTCGAATGCACAGGCAAAACAGCATCAGTGATAAAATGCAGGATGTAGAGGACTGGGCTCATGGAGGCAGCCAACACACTAGAGGCATGCATGAGGCGCACCAGCAGATCTTGGTCCCGCAGCCAGGCATGCTGACACATACAGAGCACAGGGCAAATGGGGATCGCATCCTCGGACCAGCCACAGAAGAGCCAAAGCAAGCCTAGGTGCAGCCAGGATGACAGATGGCGTCTGCGGAACTACTGTGGCCTACAGAAGGGCGATGCTGAGGAGAAGCAAATATTGCTTTGGGTCAAGCAGCAGATCAAGGCGACCAAAACAGACCTCTGACCCAGATTTCCTTTTTGCCGTATCGTCTATATTGAGGAGGTCCCCAAAGCGTTCATTAGTGATAAACTGATGGTGTGTTGGAATGACACCCGTGTGGCGTCGAGCTGCAATATCGGCCTCTTCTTGCTCGCGCTTAAGTCGTCTCTGGTCCGCTAAAAGTTTCTGCCATGAAATTGCATAAAATGGGCAGTAAATCATCTGGTCTGGGGAAGTGGAAAATTCCCAACAGGAGGAACTGAGAAAAAAGGTGTTGAGGCATCAGGGAGGAAACCTTAAGGGTCAGAGGGGCTTTATGGGCATAATGGCTATGCCCCCATGTAGCCATGTCCTGCATCTTCTGTGTGGGAAGGAGATAGCCCGGCACAGGAGAAACCTGGAAGAAGCTGGGATCTAGGGAAGGATACATACAATTACTCTGCCTGGCAAGTCACCCCCTGGCTCAGCCAAGAGCCTCCTGATCCATGGGCAGCAGAGGCTGGGTGAGCCAGGGGCTAGGTCCAGAGCACTCATGAACATGCTGGGCTGTAGCAGGGGGCCAGAGGGCTCGCCCCACCCCGAGGAGGCAGGGAGGGTGCCCACAGGGATGCCCATGCTGGAGCCAGGGTGGGGCTGACTCTGCTTGCCCCGATCAGGCCAGCTGAATCTGCTCTGGCTTTTACTATACGGGGTGAAGGGTAACTCGGTCATTTTGTGCTCCCATGTCTGCTACTCTAATATGCTCGAAAGAGCAGAACTGTCCATTTCAGAGAACAGGGCACCCCTTCTCCTGGGCCAGCCCCCCCTCCCCTTAGGAGGTCTCAGCACATGCAGAAAAGGCCATTTATATGCCTGAGAGAGAGCATCAGTTACGCTCTTCACCATTTCTTCATTGGGTGAAATGAAGGTGAAGAGCCCAAGGTAGGATAAAGATAACGGTACCTGGGATTAGAGGAGCTAGTCTGGCTCATGATACTTTTCAAAGTATTTTTAAAAATTAAACAATTCTGCATTTTACCAAATGCCCTCCTGCTACCTATGGAAATTATCCCTTGAAATATAATTTTGATGTGTTTTCTTATACTATTCCAGCCTAACATTCCTGGGACTAATGTTTCTTGTAGCATTAATTACAACTGAACTTTCGTAGCATGCTCAAAAACGAACAAAAAGTATCAGTATTCTTCTGGCAGCCTGTTACATGCCTCAGGTGACATTTAGCCCCAAAGGATGGTGGTCCTGACCTTGTTTTCACAATCTACAAATAACAAAGTGACAACTCATCAAATGGCTGCGGGATTCCCAGTGCTCAGGTAGGTTGCTGTAAAGACCAAGAGAGAAGGCCTGAGACATTGCTCTGCAAAGCACAAGGCCGTGAAAAGAGCACTGGCCCAGGAGTCTGGCCTGGTCTCCAGCTCTGCCTCCAGTACCAGGTAACCTGCTATGTGGCCTTGGGCGAGCCACCAACTTGCCACGTTCCTTTCCTGGATAAAACAAGAGTATCAGATATATGATCACTAATGTCAGCAGGGCTGACATGCTCTTCCTTTCTGAAATGCCATTACATCAATGTTAAGAATAAAGCATTTTCTATTACATAGAAAAGTGCCAGGACTAACACACTACCCAGGAGCTCTGGTAGCATAGTGCCTAAGACACTTGACTGCTAACCAGAAGGCTGGCGGTTCAAACCCACCAACCACTCCTTGGAAGGAAGACTAGGCAATCTACTTCCGTAGTGATACTGCCTCGGAAACCCAAGGAGGGGTCGCTATGAGTCGGGGCCGACTCGACGGCACATAACAACAACAACAACACACTACCCGGCCACTGTGGGCTGTTTCTGTAACAGGGGAAAAGGACTGATGCTTGAGGCTACCATCAGACCTTGCTCAATGCAGCTGGTGCTCTCCCCAGGGTTACATATAGTCAAGTGGACATCAAATGGAGCAAAGCTTTCAACCAGTGCTTGAATCTGACCTCAGTAAATCCATCAGCCATTTCAACCACATAAGTCAAAAACTATGAATAAGTACAGAGAACATTTAAGGATCTGTGAGTCCAAGTTACTCGGGGTACAAGCAGCTCATCTCCTACGTCTAACTCTTATTTCATCAGTTGCTAACTCAGGTAAGTAAACTATGCCACCCACGTGGTAGGCAAGAATTCAACCACAAAACCTGCCATGTAGGACACTAGGATTTATACCACTAAAAGGGAATTTCATCTTCATTCACATAGACAACCAGGCCTATGTAGGTGGAAATCTTTTATCTTGATAATAGTGAATATTTAACAAATGAGTCGATTCTGTGGTCAGATGGACACTCATTGTGAGTTTTTGGTTTTGCCATTACAAATAATTATGTACGTCAAATGCGTCCTCTTCTTTCTTTCCACAGGCAGAACACATGTCTTATTGAATACTGTTTGGATTGTGCCTGGTGAGGGGAGAGGTATGGTCATTTCTTTTTTAACTTTTGTTTCATTACCTGGTAGCAAGGATTACTATCATTCAGCTCTTCTCAAAGTCAGCATTACCCTTAACTCCTTAAGGAAAGTCCACCAGCAAAACACAGAAAGGGGGCTGAGGCTTTACAGGGAAAGGGACAGATTTTAAACAGACGTGAGCACCCTTCCTCTACTGCTACCAGGTTCAAAGCAACTCTTCCATGTCTGAATTGATTTCAGGAAAACAGACATTGGAGCCAGGTTTACTCCATAGGACCATTCTCCTGGGAATGCAAAGTCCAGAAAGCAATGGTCATGTCAACATCTGATGACAACAGAGCTTGTGACTTTGCCCGTTTGGTGGACAGGTAGAACCACAACTTCCTAAGTCCCTGAGAGAATGGGCTCCGTCCCCTGCCCTGTTAGTCACACCACTACCGCACAGACTTCTCAGTAGTCTGAGAAAGGTCTGCATTTTCAAGTTTTCGGATGGGGTTTTACCAATGTTCACTGGGGGATCTTCCATTTTCTGAATTAAACACAATGTTCTTAAATGTTTATAAGGTGGATCGTGGTCATTGTTCTTTTTAACGTTTCTCTTTCTCCTCCTGCAGCCTTCCACATTTGAACTATGCTTTGTCTCAACAGAGGGGTGAGAAGTATTGGAGAAATATGTGGGTGGGCTTCCCTGGAGAACATCGAGGCTGGGGAAAGGAGGGAAGGAAGTAAAAAGTGAAGCCAAGTCCAGCTTCCTACCTACAAGGCATTGGACGTGGTGGGAGGGCCACCTCTTCCTGAACCCCCCACACAGCAGTGCTGGCTGGACTTTGCACTCATATCCTAGTGTCCGTGGGAAGCTCAGTCTGCCTTTCTGGGTAAGTGGACCAGAAGAGGAGTCACAGCCCGTGCCATGCAACAGGTCATGGGGAAGACCCCAGCTCCGCTTTGAATGACGAGGCCATGTCCTCTCTCAGACAGATGCCTTCCGGAGTGTTTACCTCCCTCCTATATTTGGCTGAGGAAGAGTTAAGAGATTTTAAAGATTGGATTTACCTCTTTATCATCATGACGTCTTCGAATAAAGTCTTCCGTGGACTCCAAATAGTCAGCTGGTATAAAATGTCTCGGTGATTCTGAATCTTCAAAACAACAAAGCAGAGTTAAAACAGGCAGTAATGCAGCTCCAGAAAGCAGGCTGGGAAATGAATTCCAGCTATTAACCTTTCGCCAATTATAAATACCATGTTCTCACAGTCATTATTCATCAGTAATCAAATTCTGAAGAAAACACACCAACCCCCCTTTTGGATGGACTTGTAAACTAGTTTCATACAGAGAAGATGAATCAGAAGGCAAAAGGTGATTAAAAAGTGAGGTCCTTCTTTGAAAAGTGTCCCTACTAAGAGGCGTGCAGTATCTTACAGGGACAAACCGTGCACTCACACACACACAGGGCCACTGAGAGAGGCTGCCTCTCAAAAAACCATGGGTTAAGTAGGGGATTGGTGCAGACAGCACAGGGTTCTAGACGTTCCGTGAATGAATTTCTCATATGAGCTAAACGGCCAATTTTTCTTTCGAAACAGAGTTTGGTGGTTAGTCTCAACGACACAGGGACTTTGTTTTTAAAGAAGTGCAGCCACTACGAGCCATGATTAACTGCCAAGCAAAACAAACAGAAAACAAAGGACGGACCAGAAAATGAGCACCGAGGGCACAGGGGAGGGGAAGGAGGCAAGCAAAGTGAGAGACGGATGAGGTGAGACGGGTCAGACACACAAAACGCCACCTCCGCGGGCTGTTCCCAGTTCACTTGGTGGATTGTTGTTCCTGTCCAGGACGTGCTCTGAGAACGGCCTAGCGTTCCCATTACTCAAGGCCCGTGGGCAGTCCTCTGGCATTGCCGGTCTCTCCTGCGGGGACTCTGAGGGCCTGCTAAGCCTCTCCATGGTGTGCCGCGAAGACAGGCGCTTGGGCACAGAGGGCTTGCCCCTGGAAGAGGGCTCATGCTGCAGGGGCTGACTGGGGTGCTGTGGTTTCTGGCGCGCCGAGAGGCCTGAAGAGTCCCCAGGGGACGGCTGTCTAGGGGGGTGCTGGAGGGGCTTTTTCAACCGAAAGGGGAGGGGGCTCATTAGGTAGATGTTCCTGAGGAGAGCGCTCTTGTCCCCTCTGGGGTCTGGGCGCCACCCAGGCTGTCTGGAGGTCTGCTGCTGCTCATGCTTCCGGATGGTGGTGAAGCGGGTATACGAGGCAGGGCAGGTGCCCTTGCACTTGTTGGGGCGATGCTTGGGGACGTCTCCATGGACGCTGCCACTGCTGCCCTCTCTGCTGTCACTGGAGATGCTTGAGCAGCGGTCTAGCTCATCAGAGCAGGCCGAGAGGGGGTCAGAGGGCACAAGGCCCCTGAAGCCCAGGGCGGGGTCCGCCATATTGCTACATGCTGGGGAAGCATAGACCCGACCGGGGTTCATCGCATCTATCTCCCTGGGCCGGAGCTTGGTGGACTCCAGGAGAGACTCGGCTGACCGGGCAGAGGTCAAGCCGCTCCGGGACGGCACGGGCGTGGGGGACTTGCTCAGCCGGCCAGACAGGTCCAGGGATGGCATGGACCGGGACCGCTGAATCAGCTGCTCAAAAGCTGTGATGCGGGAGGAGACCGTGTGCTTGGGGACATGCTCTGAGCCCTCCTGGCTGGAGCCCAGCTCGCCCCTGGCCAACGCTAGGCTGCTCCTTTCAAAGTGGGAGGCGAGGTCCCGCACACTGGAGGAGGAGCCGGAGCCCGACAAGAGGCTGGCCCGGTTGATCTGGTGCATGTCTCGGTAGAGCGTGGAGAACTGCATCCCAGCCTTTCGTGAGAGAGGACAGGGCCTCCTGGCACTGGAGCTGTATTCCTGGAGGCTCACGGTGCTGCTCGACCTGCTGTCGTAATCCCGCCGGGAGCGCGTGAGCAGGTTCTCGGTGCTTCCCCCCACGTGCAGGGGGAGGCCTCTTCTGGAATCATTCAGAGAAGCTGAAACGCAAAGGTTCTCACAGCTCTGAGCCTTCTCGGAAGACAACAGGACGCTCTTCCGTTCCTGCAGAAGAGTGCTGGGAGCAGAGAGCCTGGGTTTGAACTTGGAAGGAAGGATTTCCGAGATGCAGGCTTTCGCAGCGGAGAGGGGCTTCTTGTGCTTACACACGGGGCCTAAAGCATTGCTAGCATTAAACGTTCGACTAGGAACTGAAGATGAAGGGATCATGTGAGCATTCCCACCTTTACGGTCCACTGGTAAGCATGCAGAATAAAATAAACAGACCCATTAGGTTAAAGCTGAAAGCCGCTAAAAAGAAAAAAAAAGAAAGAACGAAAACAGGGAGAGGTGACATGCTCGTTTGTCATAAGGGCTTTTTTCATTTCCAGTCCATGTCTGGAAGCAAAATAACCAGTGTTGCAAAGCAGGTGCAAAGATGGAACGAAAAAAATGACCACCCTGCTAGAGTCAGAAAAGGCTGAAGCTCTGCTAATTTCTAAGAAAAGGGAATTAGAACAAAAAGAGAGAGCACAATGCTTCCGGGAGAGCAAGGCTGGAGGTTCAGAGGGAGGGAAACTACTAATACCAGAAAGAAAAATGGCCAGCAAGAAAATGGGGGCGGGGACGCCAAGGACTCAGAGGCCCGGATATGGATCAGAACTTATCAGAACTTATCCCAGTTGCTGGCGGCTGGCCCGTTGCCACCACTGTTGTCGCCACCACCACCACCACCAGCAACACCACCACAACCGAGGTGACTGGTGTGTTCGGAAGAGAGAGGCCTGCAATTACCTTTAGTGGAAGCCAGGCTGGATGGTCGCTTGAGCCCACTTAGGCCCTGAAGAGGGATGTCGCCACCTTCCAAGACACTTTTATAAATCTGCCTCTCATTCTCCAAGCTAGCGAGATCCCCGGGGGCCCCATCTGATTCCCTCTTCACCGCGTGGAAGTTGGAAGAATATATACTACGAACGATGTAATTTCAAAAGAGAGAGAGAGAGAGAGAAGGAATTAAAAAAGAGAAAAGGTAAGAGTAAGAGTCAGCACGTTGCGGCATTTTGCTCAAAAGCACATGACCAGCTGAGGACTAGAAGCACACCTGTTGGCTGGGGAAGCACTACCCTGTCGAAGGGGTGTTCCTCTAGACATCTACACACAAGACAGGCCTACGGGTGGGTGCTCTCAGCGCTCAGGAATCTTGTCCAAACAGAAAAGTGCTCTAATTGAGATGACTGCATTTTCTTCTCGCTTGTAAGAGAGCAACTCAGGGAAATAATGCTGGGGGGAGGGTGGGCTGGGGCCCAGTGCTGCTTGAAGGTGGCCCAGCACTGGCCAGGAGTGGAGCCTTTAACACAGCACCAGCCAGTGTCGGCCACCTCAGCTCCACTACTTGGACTTTTCCCGGGTTGTTCTTCACAAGTGACTTGGTCGACAGCAGTCATCGGTCTATCAGCAGTGTGACAAGCAGGCCCAGCTGCCCTGGGCCTCCAGGAAACTCAGAGACCAAAAGAAACTGGAACCTTCCACTCTATGTGCTCAGTTACTAACATAGCCAAATTGTGCACCCAAAAACCCAAAACCAAACTCACTGCCGTGGAGTCAGATCTGACTCATAGCAACCCCTCCTTGGGTTTCCGATGCGGTATCACTATGGAAGGAGATTGCCCAACCTTCCTTCCAAGGAGTGGCTGGTGGGTTTGAACTGCCAGCCTTCTAGTTAGCAGTCACATGCCTTATGCACTATGCCACCAGAGCTCCTAAATTTTGCACCCACTTCTTTGAAAATGTGTGTTCAGAACCTTACGACATGAATTACGAGTATAAACTGAAGCTCATTTACAGCATTCATTTATTTTTATCTTGCTGTAATCTAGGTATTTTGCAGGTTACCACAAATCCTTTTTGGAATGAGGTGGGGCATGAAAAAAAATTAAGAGCATTTGTTGGACCCCTCCCTCCTCCTAAACCCAGTTTTCTATGCCCTCAGCCACTGACACAATGAGACATGAACACACATGCATGTGCACACACAGAGATTTCTCAGGTTAAGTCCGTGGCCCCTTCCCACCACAGTACTAGGCTTCTGCTAGGCTGCATTTCAATCCCACTGAATTCCGTTTACTGGTATCTACACTATTTTTTCCAGCTCTGAAGATTCACAGCTTGATGGAATTCCTTCCTCCCAATATTTTATTATGAGTATTTTCAGATATTTAGAAAAGTTTAAACAATTATACTAGTAAACACCCATATACCCACTACCTAGCTTCTGCAATGGACACTGGGCTGCGTTTGCTACCCACCACCAGCAAGATGTCTCACATGGGAGGTGCAGGACTAAGTCCCTAACCACCATTCTCTCTTTAATCTGCACACACACACACACACACACACAAATCCTATTCTATTTTTGAGATGGGAAGGCTGAGGCGCTGCAAGATTCTGTCACTTGTCAAAGCACAAGTTACTGAAATGGCGGAACCAGAACACGAGCCATGCTGTCAGGCACCACACAGACACTATTCTTAGTTGCTGTTCTCTGACATTTCCTCGTGAGCAAGGGGTCATCCCTGGGTGGTACAAATGGTTAATGTGTTCAACTGCTAACTGAAATGTTTGCAGTTCCACCCAGAGGCACCTTGGAAGAAAGACCTGGCAACTGACTTCTGAAAAATCAGACACTGAAACTCCATGGAGCACAGTGTGCTGTGACACACGAGGCTGCCTACAGGCAAGTGGTGTTCACGGAGCTGCCTTCCCCATCGCTGGCTGCCAGCTGCGCGTGGCTGAGATCAGTCTGTTGGGAGGACAGTCTCTAAAGCTTTGCCCACCTTGGTTTTACGCTACCAGACCTCCCTCAGCACTGGGCCGTGACTCTGACTACAGCTTCCATGCTGCCGGGCTCTGAACTGCTCACCCTCAGTCAGAACGTCCACCTGATCTTTCTTGCTGTGAGCTGCTGTTGAGCCAACTCCGACTCCTGGCAACCGCAAGCACACGGAGTACAACTGCTCCATCGAATTTTAAGGCTGTGCCTTTCGGAAGCAGACTGCCAGGCCTGTCAGCCGAGACAGCTCTGTGGGGGTTCGAACCACCCACTTTTCATCCAGTACTCAAGTGCTTAACAGCTCGTGCCATCCAGGAACTCCTCCATCTTCCCTGTTTGTTGCTGGGTGCCCAAAAGTTAATTTTTCACCCTCATGACAAAGTTTCCTGGCTGTAATCTTTATAGAAGCTGAATACCAGGTCTTCCTCCTGCAGAGCTATTGGGTGAGTTCAGTGGCTAACCTTTCCATTAGCAGCCAGGGATTAACTGGTAATGTCACCAGGGCTTCTATGCATACTCCCTAGTGCCTTTTAATTTCCTTCCTCCATGCCTCGAGGCCGTAACTGGCTGCCTGACCTCACACCTCCTCTGCTTCACTGGCTGTCAGAAGTCATCCCCTCTTTCTGTTCCCTAGGAGCTCTAGTGACACACTGGTTAAAGCATTCACCTGCTAACCAAAAAGTTGGCAGTATGAACACAGGACTCATGTGGAGTCCTTCACAGGAAAAAGATGAGGGTATCTGAAAGATGAAAGATGAGGCAGCCTGCTTCTTGAAACCCTATAGGGCAGCTCTACTCTGTCCTATAAGGTCACTATGAACCGGAATTAATTTGATGGCAGTAAGTTTCTCTCTATTTTTTTTGGGGGGGGGGGCAGGGGGTATCTCTCCATTCCTCACTCTTGGGCTTTATTCCACCCATTGTCACCACTTTTCCCTGCTTCCCCAGCACAACAAAAAAATAGCACTAAGGAAACCTCTCAGCACAGATTTGCTACAGTCAGCTGTCTTCCTTCCGACACAAAAAGGCAACGTGCTTTTCCCAGATGTGAACACTTTGTAAGTGAAGAGCTCCTTGCTCAGAAACAGTATCTAGGAGCTCTCGAACAATGTTTTCAAATTTAACATCCTCATCAGATCGCTTAACATGGGAAAGATGGGCATCATTTGCCCCATTGTCCAAAAGGGGAAACTGAGGACTAGAGTGGAGAAGACATTTGCCCAAGGCCACAGAGTTGTTAGGTCCTTGCTGTGTCCAAGTAGGTCAGATAAGAATGAGAAAAGCAAACTGATACCCCAGGCTGGATGAGGAAGGGCCAATCAGGATTAGCAGCTACTGATTACTTAACAAAACAAATTACGTTCAGAACCTTAGCTCTGAGCAACCAGTCCAGCCAGCCTTCAGCTCAGGAACAGCAAGCCAGGAGGAGCCCAGGCAGAAAACTATCCTCTGGGTAAGACGCAGAGCTGGCCGCTGAGTTTCCAGGGCATTCAATGAACACACACTCACTGGGAGAGTAAGGAGAGAACAGAGTGATTAAGGGCCCACCGTTTCCCACTGTGCTTCCAAGCAGGCTCTGGAGGTGGGATCTCAGGAGTCTGGGATTCCGGTTTGACCCCAGCAAGGAATGCGGGATCGGCTGAGGCAAATCCACTCTGTTTAAAACCTTGGTAACCATTTTTAACTCTCAGCTTGACTTTCTTTCATTTGCAGAAATGACAGGTATGGTTGAGATTATCCAAGAAGCCGACCTTCAAATCTGTTTTCTATACAGACCTTTCTTCTGAGCTCCAGACACGTACATTCAACTGCTTTCTAGATTTCTCCACTGAGATGTTCCTCAGGCATCAACCAACTCTGTTCATCCTCCCATGATGAAAATCCATTCACCATCACCCAAGCCAAAAGCCCAGGGAGTCATCCCTTATTCTTGCTCCCCAAACCTAATCAGTCACCAAGCCTGGTTTAGTCCTCTCCCAGACACAGCTCACATCAACCCCTTCCCTATCTCTCTGCCTCATTACCTCTCACCTACACCTGTGCAGTAAGCACACCATCATGCTCCAGTCTCCAGCCTGACTCCCTCCAATCATCTTTGCAAAACACTCCCAGCAATACTTCTAGAAAAGATCTGCCCATGTCATTCCACTGCTCATTTATTCACTCAACAAACATTTATCGCATACCTACTGAATGTCAATCACACTCCCATATGGAGATTCAGCGTGAACAAAATGGACACGAAGCCCACCCTCATGGAACTGAATTCACTGTTCAAAACCATTGGGTGAGTTCAGAAAGTGGCAGGGTGGGGTGGGGGGTGGAAGTAACTGTTAACTGTGGCTTTGGGGGAAGGGGTCTGGACAACCTGAAAAAGGAGATTTCTTCATAAGCCTTTTTTCCTGCATGACAATTTGAAATTATATTCATGTTTTATTTGCATCTTCTTCTACAAAGTCTTCCTTGATCTTTCCTCCCTGCAAGACAGAGGTGCTTATCCTTTCCTGGGTCCCAGCAATGCATTTACACTTGATTTTGATGGTTATTTGCAAGACTGTCTCCTCTGTTACACTCTGGACCCTTGAGAACAGGCAGTTTATCTCACTGATCTTTGCATGCCTGGTGCACAACACTGTAGGTCAATTAAGCAGCAGTTGAATACAGGATTCTATAAATTAAACATCTACATGCGTGCAGATGTCTGATCCATTTGCCCTAGAGGATCTCTCATGTTTCATATAGTTCTTTAGGTAATGATTTATGTTTTGTTCTTAAACTGAAGGAAAAAGGTGTTCTCTATAGTTGTATCTTAGGAGCTCTGGTAGCATAGTGCCTAAGGCACTTGACTGCTAACCAGAAGGCTGGTGGTTCAAACCCACCAGCCGCTCCTCGGAAGGAAGGTTGGGCAATCCTACTTCCGTAGTGATAACTGCCTCGGAAACCCAAGGAGGGGTCGCTATGAGTCGGGGCCGACTCGACAGCAAATAACAACAACAACATAGTTGTATCTTAGGCCTGGTAGCACAGTGGTTAAAGCACTCTGCTGGTAACCGAATGGTCAGTGGTTCGAACCCACCAGTCACTTCATGGGAGAAAGACATGGTAGCCTGCCTGTATAAAGATTGATAGCCTTGGAAA